CGGACGGAGTGACTTCGGTATTAAGCAACCAAGAAATAGTTGACTGCGTAAGTTCTTTGTTCCACGGATTCAAGTGTCCACTAAGTGTTCAAGTTATTTATCTTCACTGACGGCTGCATCTTTTTTTTTTTCAAAGATAAAAAATTACGATGATCCCACTTTAGGTGCATCGAAACTTGTGGATCTTGCAGATGAGCTCGGATCGGAAGACAACATGACTGCCATGGTATTGATAACTTATATTTCGAATATTACATTTTATCTCACTGCCGTGGACTAAAACGATGATGTTTATTAAAAATCAGGTGGTGCGTCTGCCAGGATGGGGATCTCCCATGCCAGATCACACCAAAGATTTAAGGAAATACCGATTGGACAATGATACCCGTACCAGTAATAGGCGGACGTGATCAAATCATATGAAATTGAAGAAACGATCTTCTTTAGATATACAGTAAATCCATACATAAAATTCAAAAATTCACATCTATAGATTATATAACAATGTATTATATATATATATATATATATATGAAATGACCAAAACCAAAAAAATAGCTGTATTTTGATAAACTGCGAGTCATTCATTCTAAAAGGTCCACTAATTTGATGTCTCTTAACTCTTATGGAAGTCATTTAAAAAAAAGCACATTAATGCAATCATATATATAATAATTATCTATTTAGTTATCCTTTACAAATAAAAAAAATTAGACTAATATTTTATGTAATATAAATTAAGCTTATTATTTAAACATTTGACGTGTTTTTATTATTGTAATGATTCGAAAATAAGCACCACTTCTTTCGAACGGTGTGCTAAATTTCGGAAATTAATTCATAATCGTAACATTCAAGTTTCTGTGCGTTCCTGCACAGGTTCTGCGATACTTGCAATCTACCAACTTTAGTTTTTTTTTATCAAAGGATCTTTGAGGCAAAGAAACGAACTGCACACAACTAATATAGTAATTATTACTGTTATTTTAACTTGAAACGTGATTGAAAGTAACTGTTAGAGGACAATGGGTAACTCGACTTCCAAAAAGCGTGCGTCGGGCCTACCTAGGAACATTGACTCAAATGATCTGGATAAAAAGGAGAACGGGCATAGCTCTGGTACAAGCTTCGGGAATACGTCGACCAGAGATTTTCCGCATGTTGATACAAACAAAAATAATACTTCAAGTAATATTACACCCAGTCCCGAAAATAGTTCACCGATCGCTCCAATAGCTCCAATGGAGCCAATTCTTTTGCGACCAAACGACC